TTTAATGAAAATATAATTTTTTTTGGTCAGTTTTATTGACAATCAATAAAGTCTAGGCATACAGATATATTTTATACAAATTAATTAAAATCAATCTACACATTCGGTTTCATTTAACACTTTTAATAATCATGATAACCGGTAAATGAATAAATGAATGATTTGAACAGGAGTGAATAAAATGGCATATCTGATCTACATTGGTCATAATATTAGATAAAACCAAATCATTTCAAGTGATCTATCATATCCCTTGTTCATTTCCTAACAATGATTGATCGTGTCTCCACCATATGATTTACTTACTTACATACTTACTTACTTACTTACTTACTTACTTACTTACTTACTTACTTACTTACTTACTTACTTACTTACTTACTTACTTACTTGCTTACTTATGCACTTATGCACTTACTTACTTACTTATGCCTGCTACCCTCAATGGAGTATAGGCCGCTGACTAGCATTCTCCAACCTACTCTGACTTCTTTTCCAGTTCTGTCCAAATTTTTTTATTCATTCTTCTCATGTCAGTTTTAGATTTTTTTAGGCTTAATGTACTCTTTGGCCTTCCTCTTCTCCTTTGTCCTTGAAGGTTCGTTTGGGGACATTAGGTCCCGAGAAGTCACTTGGAAAAGGTCCTAATTTTGGATTTTGTGTTTTCGAGCATGGGCTGATCAGTTGACTTTCAGATTACATTTAACACTCGGAAAATTCTCGACTGTCTGTGATTGATGAATTATTTTAGTACGCTACATTTTTGGATCTCTCAAGGACGTTTCTATCTTGTATAAATAAACTCGATTTGTCTGTTTATCGACCTCGTATTTTCTGGGTGCTTGTAGAATACACTTTCTACACCTTATCAAGACTTCTTGAAATAGTTATCAGGGCCGGGAACAATCGAATCAGAATAGCCTATTGTGTCGATGGATCATTTGTCTTCGCTCTCGTTTACCGAGTAAGATGAACTCATAATAGCATTCAAGCATATCAGTTAACGAGCATATCAGGTTCCAAGTGAGGACTTGCTTTTTGATGTGGTTGGATGCTTTGCTCAATTTGTGTCCTATCCATTTCCAGCGCTTCTCTTTCGTATGAATCTAAATCCATAATCCTAGTGTGTTTATGTGTTTTATTTTCATTTCCCTTCTCGTTCTTTCCTTTGCAGACGTTAGATCCCCAAAAGTCACTTGATAAATGTCTTTGTTTTGGATTTTATTCATGGGCTGATCACTCGACCTTGAGATCACATTCCCCTTCAGGAAAATCCTTGGCTGTGATTGGTTACTGTGTTATTTTAGTATGCTATTTTCGTGACTCTCCTAAGGACGTTTCTATGATGTATAAATAAACGTGATTTGTATGCTTGAGTTAATTGTGTTTGCTGGATGTTTGTAGAATACACTTTCTACGCCATATCAAGACTTTTTCGTCAGTCCGTTTGGGGCAATGGATCAGAGTAGCCTATGATGTCACTGGTTCATTGTCTCGTTCTCGTTTATCGACTAAGGTGAACTCGTAATAGCATTCAAGCATATCAACTGACGAGCATAACACTTTCTAAGGTTTCATCTTCAAAATTTGAAATAATCATTGAATTACACTTAAAAGAAGAGAAATATTAAACGATATTGAGCCGTTTCATTCATAGTCTCTAACCAGCGGTTACTATTACTGTCTCGTGGACCCTAATCAGGCTATCTAAATCTACCAATATTGTATCCTGAACATGCTTGGTCGCATTATTAGTAGAAATAGAGGGTCACTATTAGCATAATCCTAGACATGAGTTTCGTCTTATTTGGAACTTGTCTTTGTACTGAATAGATCTGCATCTCAAAGTTGATACTCAGTTTGCGACTTGAATCCAGTATTGTTCGCTTCACGTATATCCCAGCCAGAAGGAGACACAATCTGGATGAAACTGATATGCTCGTCAGTTGATATGCTTGAAACTATGACGAGTTCACCTTACTCAGTAAACGAGAACTAAGACACAATAGGCTATTCTAATGCGTTTGACCCCGGCCCAACTAACTCTATAGGAAGAAGTCTTGATATGGTGTAGAAAGTGTAATCTACAAGCACCCAGAAAATACGAGGTCAACAAGCACACAAATCGAGTTTTTTTTTTATACAGTGGTAGAAAGTTCCTTTAGGAGAGCCACAAAATAGCGTACTAAAATAATCCGTCAACCAATGACAGTCAAGGATTTTTCCGAGTGGGAAATTTAATCTCAAGGTCAACTAAGCAACCTATGCGCGAAAGCATAAAAAATCCAAATTAGGCCACTCTCCAAATGAGCTCTAACGTGAGATCGAACATGCCAAACAGAAATACGTGTCTGTCTAACCATCATCATTATCATCATCGATCTATGCAATTAAAAAATTTATTCTGTGATTTGCATTCTACTTTAGAAAGTATTAAGTAATCATTCAAATTGTTATGAATAAGTATTTGCAATCAGTATGAAAAACCAGATTAAAGCGCAGGTGTTTATATTTTGCCCCCAATAAACTGTGTCCTTATCAAATTACACGATAAATTTTTTTGAGTAATCGTAATTCTCCAAGATAATATATGAGCTTTCTTTTTATTTGATCTACTTACTAAATTTTCCTTATAATCCATGTGTGTGAGTTGATTTCATTTCTACTGGTTAGTCTCTATTTATGTTCAAACATTCAATAGGGATTATTACAAAACTTCTAGTGTCTTTTCTAATATTATGTAACTCAATATGAAAACTTTTTTTAATTCTATTGGCAATATTTATTCAATGATCATATTTGTTCAGGGGATCAATATTTGATCTATTGGCTAAAAAAGATCACTGTCTTGAATATCATGTTTTGAATATCTAATTAAAACAAATATATATATATTTCTTACTCAAGCCTGTGACTGCCCAATGGTAGTCGACCGGAATTCTACAACCTACCCTTTCCTCGGCCTTCATTTCCAGTCGCTATTCATTATTTTTATGTTTGTCTCTATTTCTAGGCGTCATATGTTTTTTGGTTGTGGTGGTGTTTCGTTCTCTGAGCTGATTGTTTTGGTTGTGGAGCATAAAGCACGACTACTGAAACCATTTGGAATAGGTGTAGCACACAAACCAACAGAATCACTTCAATCAATCCTATGTAGACCAAAGGACAAAATGACAAAGGAAGGAAAACCAAATATCATCTACAAAATAAACAACTGCTCAGACGATGAAAAACACTACACAGGACAAAGTGGACTACCTCTTCAGCTCCGTGTACTTGAACACCAATTAGCAGTCAAACGCCACGACAATTCTTCACTGATATCAATACACACGGAACAATTATGGACAAACATTTGATTGGAACAATGTGGAAATACTGGGTAGGGGGAGGACAAAGAACACTAGAGAATTTTTAGAAGTTTGGCACTCAGGTCAATCAGCAATCAACAAACACATCGACGCTGACCCAATTTATCAACTAAGCAGAAAAATCATAAGCGACGTAGGATCAAGAAACAGATCAAAGTGGGGATACACTCAAAACAAAGGTGCAAACAACGACAGGTTTAAGGTCAACAGCAACCAGTCAAGACCGGGGTTAGCAGAACAAGCTACAGGTCAAACGTGGAGAAATTCGAATACTTCACTTCTATCTGAAGTTTGTGCTGATGATGTTGTTCAGAACAACAATGAAAGCTTCACAACCAAAACACCCAGCTCAGAGAACGAAACATCACCACCAGAATCATCCACCTGAGCTACAAGTTTTCTCCACCATCTCAGTGTTTTTTGGTCCTCCTCTTTTCCTTTTAACCTGAGGGTTCCAAATGAGAGCTTGTCTTGTGATTCAATTGAGTGATTGCGTCAACATGTTCCTTTCTTTCTGATTTCTTCCTCTGTTGAATTCTGGTTTGTTCTCTCCCATAGTAGGTTGTTTGTTACTCACGGTGTCTGGTTAACAGATAAAAAGTATTTTGCGCAGAAAATTGTTAATGAATACTTGTATCTTCTGAATTATGTATGACCTTCGTAGTTCTCCAAGTTTCCGCTCTATATAGTTGTAGAACTGTCTTGACATTTGTATTGAAAATCCTGTTAATCGATATTTGTTTGAAGTTCCAGATGTTGTTCAGTTGTAGAAATACTCTGTCACTACTTTGTCGATCTGCGCCTTCACACCTGTATCACATCCAACATGCTCATCAGTGGTGCTGCCCAGGTGTGTAAAAACGGTTTTTACATCATCCAATGCATCTCCATCAAGTATGATTTGGTTGGCCTATGTTGTGTTGTAACAGAGAATATTGCTTTTTCCTTTGCGTATGTTGAATGCTACCGTTGCTGAGGCTGCTGCTACACTGGTCGTCTTCTCTTGTATTTGTTGTTGCGAGTGTGGAATAGAAGAGCCAGATCATCTACGAAGTCTATAGATCTCCTAGATTTATCCTGGCTATCCACTGTATCCTATGCTTCCCCGCAGATACTGACGTCTTCATTATTCAGTCGCATATACATATATATACATATGCTGTGAACGAGAACACAGGTGGGGCAACCGGATTGTATTTCACGAAAATTACAGAGTTACTCAGTAAAATAGGAAAACCATATCGTAAATCGTTCATTTGTAAAATATCAGTTCATCATCCTATCGAACTGGACTGTTCCTGTTGCAAAACATCAATCCATTGTCACTACTATTCATGCGTTTCATACAAATTCCATTGTGTTCTAACTCTTCCTCCTTTCTTGATCTTCCCCCATCTTCTGCTGCCAGACATTACGTTTAAACTCACGTCATATACTACTTATAAGTAGCTCGCACCATATATATATATATATATATATATATATATATATATATATATATATATATATATATATATATATATCTGTACCTTTTATTGATTTCTGTCATTTGTTCTCACTGATGATTACTGCTATTATTATTAATTATTATTATTATTATTACTACTATTATTACTTTTATTATTACAGACTATAAAGATACCAATCAGAATTTAGTCAATGTTGTTTTCTTATCCTCATCCGGCGCGGGTTTCAAACAATTATGCTTAATCTTAGATGAAGTGGACGCATTTATTTTAATGGAAGTAAGTCACAATGTTATTATTATTATTATTATTATTATTATTATTATTATTGTGTATGTGTTTTTTTACTCGTTTGATTCTTACCTGTATTTAAACTAAGTGTATATTTGCTTTTTTTAAAAATAGCCAATTCGCTTGTATACATATCGATTTTAACTTGAGGTCACAATAGAACAAGATGTATGAATTCCGAGAAAAAATTTGCAACATGTAGTGTGTGTGTAGTTTTTTTGGTAGAGACCATAGGGCTTGTTCTAGCTTAAGGACAAACTAATTAACCTTTTTCAGCCTGAGTCATTATTATTCACATGTCTTTCGCCTTATCTGTTACATATGTGGTGTGTGCTACTTATACGAACGATATAAGTAGTATAAGAAGGGACGTGAAAGAAGAAGTCTCACGGTCAGAAGAGGAAAATGGAAAGCAAATGGAGCAAAAGCAAGAAGTAAATGGAGTAGCAACAGGAAGTAAAGGAAGCAACAGCAGGAATGGACGAAGGATGGAGCGTTGGAAGTCACGACTCAAAGATGTTGTGCAAATAGAGTGTTCAATGTAATGTGTTCTTTTTTAATTGACTAAGAGTGTAAATTTGCATACTACCCCACTGGTAGTGAGAAGGCTGAAGCAGGCGCGGAAGATTTACTTCTTGCTTTTGCTCCATTTTCTTTCCGTTTTCCTCTTTTGACCGTGAGACTTCTTTCATGTCCCTTCTTATACTACTTATATCGTTCGTATAAGTAGCACACACCACACGTATTCACCCATATTTTGGTTGTTTTTATTCGACTATGCGTGTGTACATTATTGCTTACTACGCTTGTCACATATCTTGCTTATTCTGTTTGACTATGAATGTTTAGTAATACTTCAATGCATGTGACAGTCGGCTAACTTGCCTTCTGAAATTCACTTCTCCCTACTTGTATGCTTTGTATATTCTCGTGTCTGTCTGCATGAATGACTGCTTGAAATAAACTCTCTCATCCAACCGAATCCCTATTTGGCTCATATAATTACCGCCGTCATACAAACGGGGTTCGCCTAATGATGATATACTGAAACTGGTGGGATTTTGTGTTTTCGTGCATGAGCTGACCAGTTGACCTTGAGATTACAACTACCACTCGGAAAATCTTTCACTCTCAATGGTTGATGTGTTATTTTGTGGCTCTCCAAAGGACGTTTCAATCTTGTATAAATAAACTCTATTTGTGTCCTTTTCAACCACACATTTTCTGGATACTTGTAGAATACACTTTCTACGCCTCATCAAGACTTCTTGATATAGTTATCAGGGCAGGGGACAATCGAATCAGAATAGCCTATCGTGTCACTGGATCATTTGTCTTCGCTCTTGTTTACCGAGTAAGATGAACTCGTAATAGCATTCAAGCATATCAATTGACGAGCATAACATCTACTTCGAGTTCAACGTGGCTACTAAAGAAGAATTAAGCCCGACGTTGAATCTTATTCAGCTGGCAAACAGATAGCAAAGAGATATTAAAGATTCCCATTGTGAAAATTCGAACAACACCTATAAGCGAACAATATTGTTTTCGATTAGATTGCAAAGCGATAGTAAAAAAAAAGATTCAATACAGATAAGTTGATTCAAAAAATAAAATAAAATATTTACATAATATTTTTAAAAACGGTAAAGAATACAAAAACACAATCAATCTGCTTACCTTTTGACCAGTTAACGAGCTATCGTAATTTATGAACAAGTTATGACCGAACAGTAGATTGTTGCTCATGGTGTCTGACCAATGGATCCGAAGTATTTTGCATAGGCAGTTGTTAATGAATACTTGTATCTTCTGGATGATGGCTTTCGTGGTTCTTCAAGTTTCTGCCCCATATACAGTCCAATCGTCTAAACATTTGTATTATTCTCTGTGATATCCGATTCTTCAAATGATGTGTACTTTTATCAAAATGTTCAACCCAAAAAAATTTTGTTTAAAACTAAATGAATTTTTTGACCATTTTTCAACGTTTTTTTTCTTCTACTAACTAAATCACCTGTTCTATAAAAAAAAAATTTTACTTTGAATGGTCTTTCATGCATGCATGCATAAAACCTTTAATAATTACTTTGTCAGTTTGTTAATTCAATTCGAATAGTCTTTTTTACAGGTGAATGGTTTTGCATTGTTAATCACCTGATCTCTCTAATGGTCAGTGATTACAAATATTAAATTTTAATTTATAAACGTACACTTGGATTTGAGTAACACCAAATGATATCTTTGCGAGCATAGTTATCAACGGCTTAAGTTTTCTGAATCTTATAGATATCAGAATTCGGTCGACTAAATGACAATATAAACTTTGTATCATTTGTACAATGTTTCGATACTAGATAACTGGAGCAAGTAAACAAAATCATGTTCGAGATGCGATTCTCCCTGTCGAAATGCAAAATGTTGCTTCAGGATTTTCTTGTATCGGCACCTGAATTAGTGATAGTGAGTGAAGCAGTTGAGCATGTTGACCGCTTCAATTATCTGGGGAGTCTCATCAGTGCTGATGGCCTGGTGTGTGACGAAATCTCACCACGGATATGGAAGGCTTGACTGCATTTTGCCAGCCTGCGTCACTTATGGCATAGGCGAGATATCCGTTTGCTGACTAAAGGACGAGTGTACTACGCATTGGTTTGCTCCGTCCTACTTCATGTATGTGAAACATGGCCAACCAGAGTAGAAGATATTCGTAGGTTACTGGTATTCGATCATAGGCGTCTCCGAAACATTGCACGTATGTCCTGGGATAACCGTATAAGCAATGATATCGTTAGGAAACGAGTTCTAGGTAGGGATGGCAAATCAAGTGATGAAATATTGAAACTTCATCAATTGAGGCGGTTGAGACATGTGTTACGAATGCCTAACCACCGACTGCCTCGACGAGATATGTTTTGCGACGTAGGAGTAGGTTGGAAGAAAGCTAGGGGCGGCCAAACCAAAACATGGCAGAAATGCATGAAGTCACTGACAAGTCACTGACTGAGTCATGTTGGTAGATGTAGGCTACCTGGTTGGGGTCTGCGAGATGTTAGTAATCTATGGTTAGGGACATGACTCAAAACCGTTTGTAATGAGGCACGTTCATTCCATGCTTTGTGTTCTCTCAAATCCTAACCTCTGAATTCCTCATTACTTTATGTTTTTATTTTCAAGTTTATTTCACTAGATTGTACTTCTTAAATAATATCTTCTAATCCTAAGCTCTCCGATTACTGCTAATACCTTTACTACGCCTACTACTATAGGCTTTGAATTGACAACTGCGTTCCTGTGCTAATGTGGTATGGCAACTTGAACTCATATACGTATGTACGCGGTTCTGTGTTTTTGTTGGTGATGATGATGGCACCAAAAATAAAATAAAATCACCTTTCTCAAGATTAAAACTATTTCTTACTTTGAAATCATGAATCGAGCACTAACTGATCACCACTGGAAACCTGGTGGAGTTGGATGGTTTTATTCGTCTTGGCACGGGACTCATCAGCAATGCTCACTCACGATTCTTGCTACTTGCAGCAGTTCGGACCCTTCTATCTTGTGTGTGAACGCTTAACCTCGGCACCCAACGGTAATAATATCTAATAACTTCGATCAGTCAATGAATGGTTATGTGCATGCAATCTCATCCACTACTGTATTCGGTGAACACTACTAACCTAGCAAGCACTCCATAGAACTAGTCACACTAGTGAGTACATGATAATTTGCATGATAGAGTTGTATAGATATTGTTGAATCACTTTAGTGAAATCATCAAATCGATCGACCACTAGTGGCAACCCATTAGCAACTGTGATAAAATGCTATAGATTAGGCAAAGTTCCTAATCTATGTTAACACTTATTCACTTATTCAATTTTCATTACCTGTGCTTACCAGTGACTAGCTTCGTGAGGAATCTTCTCCGAGTTCTAGTGGTGGGAAGACGTGACCACTGTGAAGTTCAACCTGTTCGGGTGTAGGCAATGTCTACCGAAGACTGTGTATGAGGTTGCGCAACTCCGTGAATTTGTTGATCAAGTTAGACATTAACACCGTTCGGTACCGGCTCAGTGGTCTGACGGTTAGGGCGTTCGCGCACAATACCGAAAGTCCTGGGTTCGAGTCCTGTGGGGTGCAGGAGTCGTGGATGCGCACTGCTGAAGAGTCTCATACCTGGACGTAACGACCGTCCAGTGCTTCCGGGTTTCTAATGGTGATCTAACATTGATCAATTCATGCTTTCAAAAATGTGTAACTTATTCAGTTAACATTACATATGAACTATTCAATTTATTTATTCAATAAAATAATGAATACTGAATTACATTACACACACATACACACACATTTATATGATGAGTATAAAAGTGCATTCATTTTGTTATTGTTCTCTCTTGACTTTTATCATTATTTTAGCCAACTACATTTCTATGGGATACATGTGGACCACATACTATTATGAATTCATTCGGTGGTGGTATAATTCAATTGAAATATGCATTAAATTCCGTTAAAGCATTAATTCAAAAACAAAATAATATTCCAATTAATTTAGACAGCATCATTCAATGGACATTGAATGATTTGAATAAATTTCAAATTAAATATAATTCATTGAAAACAATGGAAGAGATTCAAGTAAATTGAGCTTGTTTTGTGTGTGTGTGTGTGTGTTTAGTGTTTTCGCATTGGTTTTTTTTTATTTTGAATAAGAAATGCTGTCAAAATGACAAGAAACTGGAAAAAACCGATTCAGAGGAGAATGCGTTCATATATATATATATATATATATATATATATATATATATATATATATATATATATATATTGGATAAGTCTATAATGATTTGAATTTAGCAGATGTTAAATTGATAAATAAACAGATGGATGTTTTAAAGTGTTTGGTGTTAGGGTTCCAGTTCTGTTTTGTGAATAATAAACATTGAGATACAAGTAACATTTAACTGATCAGATCTAAATTCAACGAAAGAAACTACAAATCTAATATAACATAAAATTAATGTCTAGTTTGGCAAACAGATAGATGTGTGGATAGATTGATAGATAGATAGATAGATAGATAGATAGATAGATAGATAGATAGATAGATAGATAGATGTGTGGATAGATAGATAGATAGATAGATAGATAGATAGATAGATAGAAAGCAAGTTTTCGCATATTTTCCAACAAATCTCACTTTCGATTTGTTAGGGACGTTGCATCCCCAGAACTCACTCACAAAAGGTCCTCATTTTGGATTTCGTGTTTTCGAGCATGGACTGATCAGTTGACGCTGAGATTACATTTACCACTCGGAAAATCCCCTTCACTCTCAATGGTTGATGTGTTATTTTGTGGCTCTCACAAGGACGATTTTATCATTGTATAGATAAGCTCTATTTGTCTGCTTGTCAGCGTCACATTTTCTGGATGCTTGTAGAATACACTTTCTACACCTTATCAAGACTTCTTGATATAATTAATAGGCTCGAGAACAATCAAGTCAGAATAGCCTACTGTGTCACTGCATCCTTTGTCTTCACTCTCGTTTACCGAGTAAGATGAACTTGTAATAGCATTCAAGCATATCAACTGACGAGAATTCACTGTATTATCTGAATACAACAGAGGCCAATTACATAATCTCTCTCGATGATGTTTGCTTTATCTAACTCACATGTTAGCATTATTGTTATTGTGAAGGGTTTTTTTATGAAGGAGTCCTTACACTAGTAATAGTCAAATTTTCAATAATGACTAACTTCGAGGTGTACTTCCCGAAGTTCTATTTAAGAGTATAGGTATCAGCGTAGATAATTCATGTCCAGTGTGATTTTGATAACCATTAACGGTATTTGTAAACTAGTTATACCATATCATGAATTGATCGAAGGCGGTAATGTAAAACAATAAAAATGGTTACATATTTTTGAAACCATGAATCGATCAACGTTAGACCACCATTAGAAACCTGAAAGCACTGGACGGCCGTTTCGTCCCGGTATGGGACTCCTCAGCAGTGCGCATCTTCACAACCCCGTAATGCAAATTACCTGTGCTCACTAGCGACTAGCTTCGTGAGGAATCTTCTCCGAGTTCTAGTGGGAAGACATGACCAGTGAAGTTCAACCTGTTCGGGTGTAGGCAATGTCTACCGAAGACTGTGTATGAGGTTGCGCAACTCCGTGAATTTGTTGATCAAGTTAGACATTAACACCATCGGATACAGGCTCAGTGGTCTGACGGTTAGGGCGTTCTCGCACAATACCGAAGGTCCTGGGTTCGAGTCCTGCGGGGTGCAGGAGTCGTGGATGCGCACTGCTGAAGAGTCTCATACCAGGACAAAACGGCCGTCCAGTGCTTCCAGGTTTCTACTGATGATCTAACATTGATCAATTCATGGTTTCAAAAGTGTGTAACTTAACAATCTTCACAACCCCGTAATGCAAATAAAAACGGTGACTCATTAGTTTGTAGGCTCCATCCTCACTGTGAAACGTCAATCTCCTTCATTCAAATTCTTACAAGGTTACAGCGAGGCTGCGTGTTCGAATCACGTCGGGCTCACCAATTATAGTCAGTTGAGACTATATAATGCCAATTGCCAAGTTAAAATCCTTCCACAGGCAGAAATCTTGTAATTGGAATTAAGATATATTCGTTGGCTTTCTCGTGTTATCGAAATAATACCGAGATCAGGCTAAAACTGACAGACGAGACTACCGAGGAAGCGTGAGCAAGCTCAAGGTCATAGAAAGAGGAAGTTTAGTGTTTTTTTAGTACAATAAAACAATCACTGATACAATCGGTTATAATGATAAATGTTTCTATTACACCAATCACGTTCTCTTCATAAATGTAGCTCACTCTACAAGGACATTGATTATTCATACTGTTTAGGAGTTTAGTTTAGTTCTGAATAACTTTCCTAACTAAACTCATGTCCTACTTTATGTCTTTCTCTCTCTCTCTTCAATCTACATGTCTGCTTCTCTCAATCTCTCAATATCCCCTTCTCTCATTTATTATTTTTACAGACACTCAATTCAATGAATCTTGCCAATTGTTGTAATCGTGATGGTTTATTAGCTTATCGTAATCCATTGATAGCTAGTCAAATACTTGTTCATATTGCATTGAATCAAAATTAATTTTTCATACTAATCACATAGACAAACAAACAAACAAATCAATAACTCACTCATTCACTCACTAACTCACTAACTAACACTAGTATTGATCTGTTTCTGTCAACTCAACAAAAACAGACACACATACACACATCCTAGATTACACGTACACATACAGACATACAGTAAAGACAATAAGTTCCATACACCAAACTGTGATATTCAATGACTTCATGTTATTTTTCCTCTACTATCCATATTAGAAAGAAAGAACTGATGACAATTTATTGATCATGAGTAAATATATAATATATCAGTGAATACACTTTTTTGTTCATACATTTCCATGGTCAAATAGATACTTTCATTACATATTCAAATACTAAGACACTAAAAGGCAACGACAGAAAAGAACCTAAACTTTCTCCATTCACGTGTTTCTAATGGATACTATTGTAATCACTGGATGAACAAATATTCAGTCAATCAGTCAACCAATCAATCAATATTTTACCAATGTATCATCAACATTTTCTACTCTGAGGTCATGTATTGATTTTTCTTATTGGTTACTTTTGAATTCTCTTACTAATATAATGATTGAATTTGAGCACACATATATGGTTATTTCTTAATCATCTGAAAGTTGTTTACTGTTGTTGTTATTGGTTACCTTATTAAGTTTACCAAAAATTAGTTTGTCTGGTTATTTGAATGATGGTGAACATATGGAAAGCGATTATCGAATAGTTGGTAGGATTCAAACTCGTCTGCGGTTTTCCTTTTTACTAGTTTAAACAACTGAATGATCTTACGAAATACATCCTGTTGGTCTCGAAGTTGGGCTTTTACGATAATCCTTTATTGTGTATGAAAATACCCTGTTGAAGACTTTGCCTGGTATTAAGAGAGAGAAGATTGATGCCTCTGTAGTTCTCACACTTGCTGAGATAGCCTTTCTTTGGTATTTTGATCAGGTATCCTTCTTTCCAGTCTAACGGGTAATGGTTCTTCATCCCAAATCTTCTTGAAGAGAATGTGAAATATTTTCGCAGTTGCTTCCACATCTGCGTTCATTGCCTCTGCTGGAATGTTGTCTGGTCCTGCTGCTTTGCCGCTCTTGATTTGTCTGATGGCCATACTAATCTCCTTAAATGTAGGTGCGCCAATATTAATTGGGAGGTCCGTGGATGCTGCTTCGATGTTGGGTGTGTTCAGTGGAGCTGGTCGATTCAATAGTTCCTTAAAGTGCTCTACCAACCTATTTCGCTGTTGTTCAGTGTTGTTGATTACTTTGCATTCCTTGCTTTTCACTGGTCGTTCTGGTTTACGATAGTTTCCAGCGAGCTTCTTTGTTGTATCATACAATTGTCTCAAGTTTCCGTCTCTTGCAGTCTTTTCCGCCATCATTGTTAGATGTTCCACTTATTTTTGTTTGAACTGTGTTTTCTAGTTAGCGTTTTTTTAGTGAGTTAGATTTTTGTGGGATGGGGTCACCAATTTCATGCCTAACCCTCCTTCTTTATCCGGGCTTGAGATCGGCAGTAGCTCCAGAGGGGCTCCAGGTGGAGTTAAGCTGTTTACGGTGAAGATATAAGTCATAGTTGTGAAAGTAAGTAGCAATTTGGTCAGTCAATCACGTGATTGTAGTAGCAGTAACAGTATAGGATATGCTTTCTAACCGCTCACTGAGTTGAGTTCATAAGATACTCGTTGGATGGCAATTTCGAGTTGTAACGTAACAGCCTAACTCGATCTGGAGTCCCTCTCGGGCTAATGCCAGTCCCAAGTTCGGATAAAAGAGGAAGGTCTGGTATTGGGTTGGCGAGCCCATCTCATAAAAAAGCTAACCATAAAACATAATTCAAACCATTTTAACTCTTCCGTGGAAGTTAGAACGTCTTCTTTGAGAAGAGTTATGACGTCTATCGCATATGCAACAACAAATGCAAATGAAGACGATCAGTGTAGCAGCAGCCTCGGCAACATTAGGTCTCAACTTACACAAAGGAAAATGCAAGATTCTCCAATACCAGAAAACATGCGCCAAACAAATCACTCTTGATGGAGATGAAATGGAGGACGTTAACACCTTTACATATCTGGCCGGCATCATCGATAACCAAGGTAGATCTGATGCAGATGTGAGGGCGGGGATCGGTAGGACAACGGTTACATTTCTACAACTGAACGACATTCCCAACTCCAAGCAAATGTCAACCCACACCAAAGTCACAATTTTTAATACAAATGTCAAAACTTTATGGGGCGGAAAATTGGAGAATTACTAAAGCCATCATCCAGAAGATACAAGTATTCATTAACAGTTGTCTACGCAAAATACTTCGGATTCGTTGGTCAGACACCATGAGTAACAGCGAACTGTGGGAAAGAACATACCAGAGTGCAGTGAAGGAGAAAAACGAGAAGAAGCGGTGAAGGTATATGGGATACACACAGTGTGGAAAGCACCCAAATGTGTCACAGGACAAGCCCTCACTTGGGACCCTCAAGGTCAAAGGAAAAGAGGAAGGCCGAGGAACACAATACGCCGAGAAATAGAGAAAGATATGAAAGGAATGAACAAACATTGGACAGAACTGAAAAGGGAAGCCCAGGACAGAGTTGGTTGGAGAAAACTGATCGGCGACCTATGCTCCATTGAAGGTAACAGGTGAAAGCAAGTCAGTATCGGGAGCATATTTATTTAGGATAGTCGTCGGAGAGCGATTTCGAGTTGTAGCATGACATCCTAACTAACATACATCTGTGACGAATAAACTCATAGTAATCATAACAGAAAATAGATTAAATTCTTTTGAAATCAAACTTTAAAATTTATTTTTTTTTATAAATAATTATTCAATATATATATTAAACTAACTGAAACAACAACTCAATTATTGTGTAGACATAAATTCATTCAAATAAGAAAAATAAAATACGCTTCATCGTGATAATGTTTCGTTCTCTGAGCTGGATATTTTGGTTGTGTAAAGCTTTCATCCTTGTTCTTCTGCTGAACAACATCATCAGTACAAACTTCAGGTGTAAGTGAAGTATTCAAACTTCTCCACATATGACAGGTAACTTGTTCTGTTTCTGTTAACCTCGATCTTGATTGGTTGCTGTTGACCTTAAACCTGTAGTTGTTTGCACCTTTGTTTTGATTGCAACCCCCTTTTGATCTGTTTCTTGATCGTATGTCTGTACATGATTTTTCTAATTGGTTATTAAATTGTGTCAATGTCAATGTGTTTGTTGATTGCTGATTGACCTGAGTGCCAAGCTTCTAAAAATTCTCTAACGTTCTTTGTGTTCCCACTATCCAGTATTTCCACATTGTTCCAATCGAATGTATGTTCATAACGGTCCGTATGTATTGATGATATAAGCGAAGAATAGTCGTGGCGTTTGACTCCTGATTGATGTTCACGTAAACGAAGCTGAAGAGGCCATCCACTTCGTCCTATGTAGTATTTTTCATCGTCTGAGCAGTTGTTTATTTTGTAGATGATATTTGGTTTTCCTTCCTTTGTCATTTTGTCCTTTGGTTTACATAGGATTGATTGAAGTAATTCTGTTGGTTTGTGTGCTACACCTATTCCAAATGATCTCAGTAGTCGTGCTTTAAGTTCCGATATGTCTTTCATATGTGACAGAATGATCCGTTTATTTGTTCATATACTTGATTTCGCTTGTGTTGATGATTTCAGTTGATGTTTTTTAAGAAATCTCTTGGATAGCCGTTCATTCAGAAGATGATCACTTTGTATTTTTCTTTGTGTTTTTGCCCTCGGTCTTTGCCCTCTTGAACAACATTTGTACGCAGATGATTTTGTGAGTTCTCGGGTTATTGCTTCTGTGGTTGATAATTAGGTACGTGTCGGTTGTCTTCACAAATACTTGGTTCTCCAGTTTCATTGTGTCGTTTCTAGCGACTCAGCATAATTTTGAACCATTAACGGATCTTTGTTAAGTCGCTGTTGACGAAACGCCCATTTAGTACCTCTAGATTTTCAAAAGTGATTTAAATTATAAATGTTGTAAATGTATAAATGTATAAATGTTGTACCAATCTACTCAAATTCCTTTCACTAAAACTGAGATTATTCAATGCAACAATAGACTACTGACAAACATAGTAAGTAGTTAGATAATGTCTAAATAATTTGCAGACGTTCATAACATTGTCAGACAGACAGACAAATACAACTCAGAACTGCGTACGTAAGTACATCAGTTCAGGTTGCCATACCCCATCAGCACAGAGACGCAACTGTCAGTTCAAATCCAACAGTGATTGCAATAATAGAAGTATTAGCAGTAATGGAGAAGATCAGGGAGCGAAGATTTGATTCGAGAAGTATAATTCAGTAAGAAAATTTTCGAAGGAGAAAGATAGAGATTATGAGGAATGCAGAAGCTAAGAATTTCAGAGAACACAAAGATTGGATGGACCTGCGCCACTGCAAACGATTCTGAGCCATGTCATTCAAGGTCTCTAACCACCGATGACTACCGTCTCGCGGACCCCAACCAGGTAGTCTACATCTACCAATATGGCTCAGTCCACTTGTCAATGACTTCATGGATTTGTGCTATGCTTTAGTTTGGCCTCCCCTAACTCTCTTCCAACCAACTCCTACACCACAATACAAAGCTCTTCGAGGCAGTCGGTGGTTGGCCATACGTAACACATGTCTTAACCACCTCAGCTGATGAGGTTTCATTACTTCATCTATTCATTTGCCATCTCTACCTAGAACTCATTTCCTAACGACAGCATTGCTTATACGGTTGTCCCAGGATACACTCGGTGATCGAACTCTAGTAACATACGAAATTCCTCTTAACGGCCAAGTCTCGCATCCGTACAGTAGGACGCAGAGAACTGTTGCACAGTACACTCGTCCTTTGGTTAGCAAACGGATATCTCGCCTGCGCCATAAGTGATGCAGGTTGGTAAAAGCTAACCGAGCCTTCTGTATCCATGCTGAGATTTTGTCAGTAACCAGGCCATCAGCACTGATGAGACACCCCAGATAAGTGAAGCGGTCTACACGTTCGACTACTTCACTCCCTATCACTAGTTCACTCCCTATCATCTGCAGCTTGTCCTCGCTTCAGATTTCCTAACGCTTTTTCAACTTTATTAAGACTAGGGGGACTTACGTCGATCTGCCATTCAGGATGACTGGATATCATTCGTAACCGAAGTGTTGCTGAAGGCCAGTTGAAGTGTTCAGCCTATCGATCCTATCTCCCGGAATGAGAGTGAACGATACAGCCATCCTTTTCTGAGATAATTTCACTTACAGTCCTCTATCGAACCCCTCCATCGGTAGGGGTTGGGTTCATCGTTGAGACGACTTCGGGGCTCGCCAGGTCAACAGATGCTTTTCCTTATGCTTAAGATTAGTGTTTGCTAGAAATAGGCGGTAATCTGAGCATACTTGTAACAGACAGTCGCCATTGTCTGTTCTCTGAGCCGCGACATCATAACATCCATCTAGGTGTCTTTCATTTTCGCTTAGCCTGCCTACTTGAGCATTGAAGTCACCAGCCATTATTACTATATCAGAGTGCTTACCTTTTTGGAGGAGGTCCG